GGAGGCTGAGGCAAGAGAATTGCCTAAGCCCAAGGAATTGGGGGATTGCTGTGAGCTGTGACTTCACGGCAGTCCACCAAGGGTTAATAAGTGAAACTCTGTCTCAAAAAAAAAAAAAGAAACACAGCTTGGAAAGGATGGTAAACAAGGGGGAACCTCTCAGGTCTTCGGTGATTCATCCTCCAGCACTTTGTTTTTTTTTTTTTTTAGACAGAGCCTCAAGCTGTCCCCCTGGGTAGAGTGCCATGGCATTACAGCTCACAGCAACCTCCAACTCCTGGGCTCAAGCGAGTCTCCTGCCTCCGCCTCCCAAGTAGCTGGGACCACAGGCGCCCGCCACAACGCCCGGCTATTTTTTGGTTGCAGCCGTCATTGTTGTTTGGCGGGTCCGGGCTGGGGATTCGAACCCGCCACCTTAGGTGTACGTGGCTGGCACCTTAGCCGGTTGAGCTATAGGCGCCGAGCCATCCTGCAGCACTTTGATTGACAGTCCCCTCTGCCCCACCTGTCCTGAGTGGAAGAAGAGTTATCCCCCTCAAAACAGAATCAGGGTGCTTTATCAGAAAAAGGGACAAACGGATGCTAGGTGACACAACAAAATAGCCAGTCTAACCGAAGAGAGAGGTTTCCAGGGAATGAAAGGAAGTTTCATTGGGTCCAATAGTTCAGAAGGAGAGGCCCCATTAAATGGCTAAAGACATCTTGCTTGTTCCTGGAGACTTCTTGAATCTCCACTGTGAACTTGTTTATAGTCATTTTAGGGAAGGCGCGTCTGCAGCTAACATCACCTCCCGCTATAAACCTGCTTTTCTTTCCTTCTAACTCCTTTCTTCCTTCTCTTCCTTGATAAATACTATTTTATACTCACGAAGTCGTGTCCAGATTTTTGGAAGCTATCATCTATGTTAACCTCAAGTAGATGTGTGTGAGTGACTATGTGTGTGTGTGGTTTTTTTTGTTTTGTTTTGTTTTTTAAGTCAGAGTTTCACTTTGTTGCCCTTGGTAGAGTGCCATGATGTCACACAGCTCACAGCAACCTCCAACTCCTGGGCTTAGGCAATTCTCTGGCCTTAGCCTCCCCAGTAGCTGGGACTACAGGTCCCTGCCATGATGCCCGGCTATTTTTGGTTGCAGTTCAGCTGGGGCCGGGTTTGAACCCGCCACCCTCAGTATATGGGGCCGGCGCCCTACTCACTGAGCCACCGGCACCACCCGACTATGTGTGTTTTGTGAGAGTGTAATACTGAAATAACTGGGACAACGTGAGTCATTTGGCAAGTATCGTCCTTGCGATTTGCCAGCTTCCAGGCAAGACACTTTCCCTAGCTGAATCTCAGTTTTTTTACCTGTTAAATGGGAATAATAATAATACTTCTTCCACAAGATTGTTAAATAACAAGCTACGTCTTACAGAACACTTACTGTGCACCCACCCCAGAGGTCACGGATTTAAATGCCCTTCTGGGTCCAGGCTAGTCCTGTGAATGGAAGTAGTTGGTGTGGGGATGGGGGTGGTTCTGGGATGAGAAACAATAAAGAAAGGTGGGGATTATGGGAAACTGGGGGGAATACTTCTCTCATAAAAAGAAAGCAATGCTTAGCTCTAGGTCATGGTTTTCAAAGTGGGGTGGCTTGAACAGCATTGGGTGGAAACCCGTGAAACCACCTATACAAATTGGCCGTTACAAATTGATGAAGGGGCGCAAGGCAAGATCTAGAGTAAGGGCCCCAAACCTCTGTGAAGGAACAGGTTTATAGGTTTAGCTAAAATAATGATGATGATCATCCACTGTCTCCGTTGATTGATAACAGTCAGTCACCTGTTGGCCCTTTTTGCTTCTCTGTAATTGCTACCCTAGAGGCATAGCTGGTGGTTGTAAAGATTCTTAACTTTTCTCTTTTTCTCCCTAGATAACATCACCTGTAAGTAACCTAAGGGGATTTTTTGAGATCTCTTCCAGTTCCTACATTCCAGCGGACCAGATTGACCCATCCAGACCAAGGCACTGACTCACTGGTCTTGGCCAACTCTCCCCTGCCCCCCAGGAATTGCATTCCAGTGGATTAGCTGAACCCAGTGGCCCATACCAAGGGACTGATGGTTCCACCCCGAACCCAGCAGAGTTAGCAGACCTTGATTGCCTAATCCTTTGCCCACCAAACTGTCTTTCAAAACCCTGTCCCCCCAGTTCCTGGGGAGACAGATTTGAGAAATGCCTCCCATTTCCCACTTAGCACTATGTGGAATAAACTCTTTCTCTGCTATAAACCCTGCTGTCTCTAGGTATTGGCTTAATTTTGGGGAGTGGGCAGATGAACCTGGTTGGGCAACACCTATTAGAAAGGCATAATCTTGGGTTAGCCCTACTGAATCAAAATTCGAGGGGTGGGGATCCAGCAGTCTGTGTTTTAACAAACCCTCTGATTCATACTCGGTTTTGAGACCCTTTGCTCTGGCTGAGGTTGCTATGTGAGATTGTAGGACTGTGTAGCCACATCTTTTATTTTTTCCAAGAGAAGCTAGAGATTTATTTCTTATGTGAAATCCCTCCACTTTTGAATCTTGGCCACTAATTTAAAATTTTAAAATATACTGTGTGAGTGATAGTAATATTTGTTCTACCCAGATTTGCAACCTCTGGTTTATGCTTTTCCCTTTAATCCTTATAATAATCCAACAAGACAGGATATACCCATTTTATGGAAGAAGAAAATGTAAGCTCCCCAAAGTCAAATGTTCTGCTGAGTCATGTAGCCTGAACGTGGTCAACCCTTGATTGAGAACCGTATACATTTGGTTCTAAAGCCTCTGCCCTGTTTTTTTTTTTTTTTTCTTTTTGAGACAGAGTCTCAAGGTGGAGTGCTGTGGTATCATAGCTCACAGCAACCTCCAACTCAGGCTCAAGCGATCTTCTTGCCTGTTTTTTTTTTTTTTTTTTTTTTTTAGTAGAGACAGGGTCTTGCTTTTTGCTCAGGCTGGTCTCAAACTCGTGAGCTCAAATAATTCACCTGCCTTGGCCTCCCAGAGTGCTAGGATTACAGGCATGAGCCACTGTGCCTGGCCAAAGCCTTTGCCCTTTTTATTTTCATAAACAGCATATGTATGTCTATACCGAGCACAGAGCTTGGCACCACCAAAGCTCAATCCAATGCGATTGACTGATAAAATTTTCTTCTCCATCTTTCTACCCCACCCCGATCTCTCAGCCTGGTGCTAATCCACATTCCTATAATGGCCAATCAGCAAGGAGCTCAGAGGGCCTGGGCAGTTTCCTGGGGGAGGGGGGACTGGACAGGTCCTGAGAGAAAGCTGTTGGCAGCAGTGCCAAGGGCTGAATGTCCAGTAGCCAGCTCGATCCACAGGCTAAAACCTGCTGCTCCACAAATTGTCCTCTTTGTGCCCCAGACTGGGTTTCAGGAGCCTGCTCAGGACTGTGTCCCCACCTGGCTCACGCTCTCATTCCTGTTGACTGTTCTCTCAGATCAGAGCAAACAGCCCCTCCCGACAACGGCATGTCTCCATTCCCAGGCTGGGCAGGGGAAACTGGAGGCAGCATTCTCGGTGTCTTTTACCAGCATCCGTCTGTGTGGTCAGTGGATGGATATTCTCATATCTCCAAATCCTCCTCACCTGTCATCCCAGTGATCACTGCCCCAGACCACCTCTAGCCACCAGGGGCAAAGCTCCTGGGGCTCCCAGGATTTGAAACCATTGGCACAAAGTGGATGTTTGAAGGCACCTCTTATCTAACTCCCTGGGTAACCCTGTATTGGCACTTACCTCCCTGGATTCTAAAGCTTGGTATACATGTATCAGTCTCCTTGGTCACAGTAGACACTCATCGTTTATGGAGCACTCACAGCCATTTGCCCAGCACCCCTTATGTGCCAGACCTGGAGTTCCCATGCCAATCCGTGTGGACCTACTCTCAGTGCTCTCAATGAGTCCACAGCGGTTCCGTGGCAGGAACATTCCATTCATGTTCTCATCATTTTTATAGATGACAAAATGACAGCTCAGAGAGGGAAAGAATTCATCTGGGGCTCCTCAGGTGGCAAGTGGTGAAGGGGACTCAAACCCAGAGGACTCCCTTTGATTACTTTCTCTTCACCAAGTGTCTTGCTCTTCATGTCCCACATAACAGGCACCCAGCAAATATTTATGGTAAAATGGAGAAAAAAGGGTTAGGAGGGAAAGAGACCTGGGTTCACAACCTCGGCGGTGCAGTCTTGGGTAGCACCTCGGGGTGGAAGTGAGGTCCTAAACCTCTGGCATCCAACTCATTTGCCATATTGGGATGATGAAAATCCTTCTTCTCAGGTCATACATAGGTTTGCTGGGGTGACTCCGTAAGACAAGGAGTGTCTGCAAAGCCTGGCACAGTCACCCCGGATCCAGTGTTGGTGTGACAGAGAGAGGAAGAGAGAAACACACACCCAAAGGGCTCGAGTCTTTGAGGTGTTTCGCCTTCATAGGCGTGTTTTCTGTCAAATGGGTTTTATTAATAACAACTGCTCTTTACATAGCCCCTACTGTGTGCACTGTATCCCTGCATTAGCCCTGCATCACTAATCCCTAAAGGGGCATCTACACTGCTCTATCAGGCTGACTTCAAATCCAGCCCCTTAATCCTCTTTCTTTCTCAACACCCGACCAGAGAGACCCCAGAGTCTTGGAATGGAAACCCAGGAACCCTGGCCTGGGCCCGCCCCTCCCGCTGCCTCTCCCTCAGGCCCCAGGAGGAAGGGAGAGAGGACTGGACCAAGGTCCAGCTGCAGCTGGTCGAGCTGCTCCCGGCCTGGAAGCTGCTAAGGTTCCTGGTTCCCACCAGAGCCAAGAGTGACACCTGATCCCAGGGGATTGTGAAATGGCTTGAGGTGGCAGCCCGCCCGCTGAGCCCTTTACCCCCCCCGCCCCCCTCCCGCTCCTGCTCGGCCCCGCCCCCTGCCCCCCGCCCCCCGCGCGCAGTTAAATACCCCTACTTTGGCGGCCGCTCACACCTGCACCCCGCCCCGGAGCAGCACCATGCCTGCCTGTCGCCTTGGCCCGCTCACCGCTGCCCTCCTCCTAGGCCTGCTGCTGCTGGGCCTCCCCGCGGTCACAGGTGAGCCGGGCAAGGGGAGGCCAGTGGGGCGAGCCTCGAGCGTCTGAACCGAGCCAGGCAGAGGCGTAGTGTTTCTGGGAGCTGGGGAGGTGGAGATTCCTGAGGCGGAAGCGGGGAGACCTATGAAAACTAAAATTTGGGGCCCCTATCAACTAAGAGTGAGACGCTCGGAGCCTAGGGGATGGGGTCCAGTTTGCTGGCGATGGGGAGACAATTGAAGGCTGAAATTTGGGGGAGGGGCTCTGCGTTGAAGGCAGATACTTAGTGGCTGCAGGGGGCGGGGTGGAGGGGATGTGCTGTGCTGTGCTGTGCTGGACACCCAAAGCTCCTAGACTCTAGGAGCCTAGATGCTCAGCCGGGCGGGGTTCCCTAAAGACCGAGACTGGAGGATTCTGAGACCAAAGGTTAGGGACCTCCTGTATCCCCGAGTGTCCAGGAGTCAGGGACCTTGGCCTGAAGGTGGAGCCGTTAGGTCCACAGGCAGAATTCCTTGGAGTTAAGATTTGGGGCCCTTGGAGTAGGAGGTGGGCATCCTCTGGGACTGGGGCTACGCCCCACCTCTGATTGTCCCCTGCCTCCCCTACCAGGCACAGGAACAGAGAAACCAGGCGTGTGCCCCCACCTCGACGAGAAGGCGAAGTGCACCAGTGAGTGCAAATCCGACAGCGAGTGCAAAGACAATCTCAAGTGCTGCCAGGCGGGCTGCGCCTTCATCTGCTCCATGCCCAATGGTAACCCCGGCGACCGGCTAGGGGCTGGGGCGGGGCCGCGCCGAGCCGGGAGGAAGGGAGGAAGGGGGAGCGCCCGGCTCCCGAGAAGAGGGACTCCCCTGGACCTGGGGACCCCTGGGAAAGTCTAGGCGGAAGAAACCAGATCCGCCCGGGCTCTCCCTCGCCTGCCCTAGGGGAGACAAAGGCGTCACTGAAGCGCAGTCAGAGGGAGGGAGGTCCCCCACCCCTAGCTAGATTCGAGTCTCTGGTGCATGACGGTCTTCCGGGCACGCACAGCCGAGACATTGTTGCAGCCCGGGGACCCGGGGCGCAGCTTCCCTCCTAGGCCTGCTGGAGGCCGCGGGGAAGCCAGAGCTGGCGTCGTATTTGAGTCCCGAGGCCTGGGACTCACCCTTCCCAAGGGCACCTCCCCTGGGGGCCTCCCGCAGCCCTGGGGCGGAAGGACTGGGAGCGCCTGGCCAGGCGAAACTCCCTAGATTCCTGCGTCCGGGCGGAAGGGGATTTGACAGATTTAGGAGAGCGCTCGGCTGGTTTTAAAGATCTGGAAGCGAGCGTCAGGGAGAGAAATGTTCTTGGCCAAGGTCACACCGCCATCACGTGGCCACAGGAGTCACTGCGAGGGGCTTGCCTTGCCCGCTTACTGCTTGAGTAGTTTGGAGAAAGTCAGGACTCCTCCCCGAGCACCTGCTCCCCCTTCGCTCATCTTTAGAACAGTCTCTTCCACCCTGAGTGAAAGAGAGCTTGGGTGCTCCGTCGAAGGTATTTGCTAGAGTGCAGGTGTGTCCGCCAAGCTGTGACCTTAGACATCTTTTCGTTTTCCGGAGGGAAAAACAGCATTAGAGGCAGGGATATGACCTGGGGAGAACCAGTGACTGTGCTGGTCTTTACTGGTCTTTATCCGGAAAACAGCCCCTTCGTTTCTCCTGGGTCATTTCCTGGAAGATGCCAGCACAGTCTGGGAAAGTTTGTGATTCAGACACCCCCGGACATGGATGAGCAGGGAGGAGGGAAGTGCAGGGGAGACTGGCCGACCAGGGACAGCTTCTGGGCCTGGAGGCTCCTAAGCTGGGCCGGAGTAGAGGAGACCCAGAAGATTGGGAGAGAAAGCAGGAGGCAGACAAAGAGATGAGAGAGGTGGCGAGGCAAAAGAAGGGACCTTTGCTGTCAGATGGATGAAGAGCTTGTTCCCTTGTCTCAGAAGGACCAACTGAGGCTGGAAGAGGGACAAGGCCAGATGGCCCCTGAGGGAGGGAGGGAGCCTGGAGGTTTGAATCCTAGTTCTGTCATTTTCTAGGTGTGTGATCCTGAGCAAGTTGCTTTACCCCTTTGAACTTCTGTTCTCTTGTTTAGATAATCGCCCAGTTCTGTGCCTGTGTTTTATTTTTGGCTATGTGGGGTTCCCCTCTCCCAGATTCAGGAGGTGGTGTGTACTGCATGTGTGCACCTGTGTGTATGTCTGTGTGCGTCAATGGAAGTTAGAAGGCTGCGCTCAGGTCTTGGTTTTACATTTATTTTTTCTTTTAAATTAATTTATTTTTGGAGACAGTCTCAATTCTGTTGCCTTAGGCTTGAGTGCTGTAGCATCACAGCTCATAGCAACCTCAAACTCCTGGTTTCAAGCTATCCTCCTGCCTCAGCCTCCTGAGAAGCTGGGACGATAGGTGCCCACCCACCGCAACACCTAATTTTTCTATTTTTACTAGAGATGGAGTCTTGCTCTTGGTCAGGGTGATCTTGAACTCCTGAACTAAAGCGACCCTCCTGCCTGGGCCACCCAGAGTGCTAGGATTACAGGTGTGAATCACCAAGCCTGGCCCTTGATTTTACCTCTGACCAGTGGAGTGGTGTTTGGTGCCCTCTTCACCTCTCTGTGCCCCAGGTTTAGAAATGTCCCCTATGAAGGAGATATTTGATGTGAGGATGAAAGGAGATAATGGATTTTTACAGAGTGCATTGTAAATGGCACACCTCTGCGGTGTTAGCTGTTAGTGTACATGTGTGTGTTAGTGGAAGGGTGTGGTTTTGTTTGTACATGGAAGAGTGAGGGCCATGGTGCTGAGTGATCATAACTGGGAGTGGGTCCATAAGGGTGAGTACAGAGAAGATGTGAGTGTATTACCCTTCATGTGTGCATTGCACTCTACAGTTTACATAGCTGACTAATACCTGGAGATCAGTGCACAGTGCACAGATTTCCTGGAGTTCAAATCCTACCTCAATCCTGTATGACCTTAGGCAAATTACTTAACCTCTTGGTGCCTAAGTTTTCTCATCTATAACATGAGCAAATAGTAACAGACCCCTCCTCTCTTTCAGAAATATGGTGAGAATTAAAGGAGTTAAATATGTCAAGTGCTTAATATAATGCTGCACATAGTTAGAGCTGATTAAGTGTTTACTGTCGGAATCACTTCCTGTTATTACAGACTGGTTTGATTCTCAGGGAGAAATAACATTAATATTGATCTCTTTGCCTCCACTATTTTACGACAGCCCCATAATGTCAGTGGCACTGATTCCAACCTAAAGAAACTGGGGCTCTTAGGGCCACGACATTAGAAAATAGCAGAGCGGGGACTCACACTGAGGTCCTGTGCTTCTAGAACCATTTAGGAGCAGCAGGAGGGAGATCTTCCCGGGCCCCTTGAGAGCAGCTCAGACCTCCTGAGAAGGACCCAGGCAGGCAGCTCTGCTGTCCGTGAAGCTGGGTAGGGAACAGTTGGGGGCCATGCTACATCCCTCCACTTACCTGCCCATGTTCCTTTTTCTACCAGAAAAGCAGGGCTCCTGTCCACAGATGAACAGTAGCTTCCCCCAGCTTGGCCTCTGCCAGAACCAGTGCGACATGGACAGCCAGTGTGAAACCAACATGAAATGCTGCCGCAATGGCTGCGGGAAGATGACATGTGCCACACCCAACTTCTGAGGTAGGTGAAGGGGGGAGAGGAGATGTATTGATGCCCAGGTGTGATGGGACTTGCAGCAGGTTAAGAAGGAAAACCTAGCTGGACACAAGGTTGCTCATCTATCTCCATTTTATTTACCGTCATTCACTCGACAAATACCTGCTGGGCATCTGTCACGTGCCATGCACCACCCTAGGTGCTAGGCATGTTCCAGGACTGAGCAAATTAGATGAAAAACTCTCCCTGCCAGGGTCTGGGTTCTAGTGGATGATAAACAAAGCAAAGAGTCGATTTTGTGGTGTGTTGGAGGGAGATCGTGCCAGGAGGAAAAGCAAGCAGAGAGGGGGGTAAAAAGGATGGGGCAGGGAGCAGTGCTGCGGTTTTTACCTGGGACAGTCAGTGAAGGCCCCACCCAGAAGGTGGCATCTGGATATGACTTGATGGAAATGAGGAAGGAGGAGTGGATGTGCTGGGGGGCGGGGCATCAGGTACAGAGGCAGGAACAGCCCTGGACACTGCAGGATGAGCAGGGCAGGGCATAAGGAGAGAGAGCGGATGGTAAGGGGGAGCGGGCAGCTCACCTGAAGCCTCATAAGGCCATTACATTGGCCATTGTAAAGACTTTGGTGTTGATCTGGAGATGTGGCACCTTTGGAAAGGGACTGCTCCTGCTGCTGTGTGGGGACGGCGGGGGCAGATGCAGGGAGCCTGTTTGGAGGTGACTGTGGAAGCAAGGGGGCGATAAGTAGCTGTGTTTTGGGGAGGGCAGCCATATCCTGGAGACAGGGACAGTGGCCAGTGAGGTTAGGGTGGTGGGAAGCTCTGTGCGTGGCCAGCAGAAAGCTTCATCAAAGAACTTTGCAGGACACACCTGAGATCAGTTGACTTCAGTTCATCCAAAGTGGGTATGAGGCGTGTCAAGTATTTACTCTGTGGCCGGCCAAGGCTCAACACCTCTAGTGGGCTGGCACTAGATCATGGAGCCTCCCATATAATTGAAAATAAAACATTATTGAGTCATAAAGTCAGTAGAAGGAACTAAAGGAAAAATAAAACAATGAAGCAAAAACACTTAGTTGGCCCCCTGGGCTCTGTGCTGGCTGTGGGACAGAAGGGAGACCATGTCTCTGTCCAGAGCCAGCAGCCCAGAGGCTGAGGCAGATGGATGGGTGACGCTCTCAGCCCTGAGTGTTGTGGAGGAACATTACCAGGCTTAGGCAGGGGGAGGATGGTGCAGGGGCAGTTGGGGAAAACTTCCCAGAAGTGACCCTGAGCCAGCCCTACAGGAAGAGTAAAGGGGAGGTAGTCTGGTGCAGTGCAGGGGGAGTCTGTTTCAGCTAGAGGGAACAGGATGAGCAAGGACTCAGCAGTGCCCTTGGGTTGAAATCTCATCACCATGTGCTACCTGTAACAATTTCTCAGCAAAGGAACCCAAAGCTCACTGATGGAATCCAATAGTCTACATGTGAGAAATTGGAAGCCCTGAGAAGGGATGTGTTCTCTCGCGCCTCCGAGACCGTGGTCTCCCTGGGGCCAGACTCTCCCCTGAGGCCAGCTGTCACTTGCCTCCATGAGTGCTGACCGCATGTTTGCGGTCAGGAAGATCCAGGTTCAAATTTCAGCTCTGACACACAACTAGCCTTTTCTCCTCCCAGAGCCACAATTATCGGGCTTATAAAATCCCTTTGATCAGCAAATCCTAGTTTAACCTAAGGAATGAAGTCGTGGTGGATCTGCCTGTTGGTCGGGAGATGGTAAGGGAGATGAGTGGCCATGGGCCCTCGGGAAAATCACACGTCGGTGAGGACCCTGATATACTCAGGTGTGCCCTGGGGATGGTCTGAAGCAGAGAAGATGAATCTAGAAGCTGTAGGAAAGTGCAAGAGCCCCAGTGAGGCCATGCTGTGCTGTGAGTGTGCAGGAGGGGTGGTGTGGGGGAGTCAGTCGGGATTTAAGCTGCAGGTGCTCTTAGCCAGTATGCCAGATACTGTTGTTGATGGTATTATTTTCTTCCTCCAGCTCCAGCCTGCAGCCTGAGGCGTGGGGAGGGGACGTTTCTGCCTGGCCCTATGTCTGGCCCCAGCCTGGCTGCCCTCACCTCTTTTTGGCCTCTGCATACCCCACTGTGCTGCCCACACCATCTCCCTTTTCCAATCAATAAAGTAACCACTTTCAGCACATTCTGTCTTTTGTCTCCCCTGACTTGGGTTGAGGTGGGTGGGCAAGTGGGGGGCAATCAAATCATCTAGGTACAAGGTCCAGGGAGGGAACAACTGTGAAGCAGTGGCCATTGGGTCAGGGATTCTTCTCAAAGGCATTAGGTCTCTCCTGGAGAATGCTCACAGCAACCCTGGGAAGTGGGTCCTTATTTCCCCGGCATGATGGATGAGAAAACTGAAGCTTAGAGAGGTGATGGGATGCTTCCAACTCGTTGCTGAGGTTCTGATAACAGCAGCAGCACCTTATGCGCCGGACACAGTGCTGGGGACTGGCTTATGAGACCTGATTTCTCAAAACAATCTTCACAGCAGATCATAGCAGTGCCCTGCTACAGATCGAGACTCCAAGAGGCCTGTGACCTCATAGAAAGAAGATGCCCAAATCAGAGTCCTTTCTTACTTTTTAAATTGAGGTTGTAATTTGTATAAGTAATATAGTCATAGGGATCCAAATTCAAAAGGTTAAGAAAAGGATATACAACAAAAAACGTCTTTTCACCCGTAACTCCCTGCCTCCACTCCAGACACCCAATTATTTTGTCTGGAGACAAACAAAGCAATCCGTTTCTTGTGTATTCTTTCCGACGTGTGTCTCTAACTCTCCTCTTTCTCTCTTCCTCTTGGATTCCTTCCATCCCTCCCTGTCTCTTTTCTTTCCAGTCTTTCTCCCTTTCCCCTCCCCTCTCTCTATCCTATCCTTCCTCTCTCTGTCCTTTCTCCATCCCACTCAAGTGGCAGTGGCCAAGGGATGAAGGTAGACAGTGGCAGGCTGAGCAAAGCCAGAGTGCCTAGGGGTACAGAGCAGGCTGCAGAGGACCTATCCTAGGAGACAGCAAGAGGTGGGATTGCTGGGTGAGCCTAGGCGCCTGGCTCATAGAGCATGCTCCACTGCCCCCTTGATCTCTGCTTACAAAACACCAATTCAAATTTTAAGACGATGCAATGCCCGCAGTGAATTACGCTCCACCTGCAAGGTCCTTCTGAGTGCAGGGCGCTGTGTGACTTGGTTCCACACCGGTGAAGCCTGGCTACAGGCCTTATTTGGATTTCGCCAGTTCTTTCAATAAGGTTCTTTCCAACAAAAGAAAATCCAGGATCCTGCCGTAGCACTCAGTGATCACACCTCTTTAATCTTCTTTCATCCAGAAAAGTTTCTGGATCTTTTTTGGTCTTTCACAGACATTAACAATTAAGGGCCAGTTAACTTTTACAGAATGTCTTTTAATTGAGCTTAGCTTGATATATCCTCAAAATTAGATCCATGCTATGCAATTTTTGGCAGGAATACTACAGAAAAAAGATACTGTGTTCTTTGTGCAGGTCACACCATGAGGAACCTGATATTGATTTGTTTTGTTATGGGAGATGTTAACTTGGATTCACTGAGTGCAGTGGTGCCTGCCAGGGTTCTCTACTCAAGTTCCTATTTCCCGCTTGGTAAGGAATGAATATTTGCAGGAAGATGCTTTGAGACTCTGTAAAAATCTTCTTGCTTTTCAACATTTTACCCACTAGTTTCAGCCTCCACCAATGAATGATTCTTACCTAAATCAAGGATTATTTTTTTCTCCTTTTATTTTTAGTTGACATATTTAATTATCCATATTTATAGGATACAGAATGACATTTCAATATGTGTATACAACTCGTAATGATCAAATCAGCATATATAGCACCTCAAGCATTTATCTTTTTTGTGTGTGTTGCGAACATTCAAAATCCTCTCCTCTAGCTTTTTGAAAATATACAATAAACTATAGTTAGTATATTCACCCTACGGCGAAATGCAGAGAACCAGGATTCATTTCTCCCATCTAGCTGCAATTTTGTGTCCATTAACCAATCTCTTCCCAGCCTCTAAGACCCACAGTTCTACTCTTCACTTCCATAGGATTGAATTTTTTTAATTTTTTTTTTTTTTTTTTTTTTTGAGACAGAGTCTCACTCTATTGCCC